AAAACTGTCTCTTGTCGATCGGTTGGATTTAGGTATCTGTAATCTTGGGTACAACCAATCGGGTTCTACTCGTCATTAAGAGCTCAGAGCATCTATGCGAAGTGTAACATTATACGTACATAGAGGAATGTTAATAACTGGTGTCACATAAGACTTCGGTGCAAACCTATGATAAGTCCATCAGATGTAGAAGATCAAGAAACCAAGGAGACAGAAGCCCAATTGGAAATTCCTAAGTAAAGAGTAGCACAAGCCTTCGATAGTGCTATCAGACTGATGGAAGCCCAGAAAACCCCAACAAGGAATAGGCAGACATGCAACCAGATGAAAGATGTGTAGAGGAGCACATGACCAACCAGGCAACTGGAATCGCTGAAGGAAAAGGATACTAAGGTATACCATACCAGGCTATCTGAATTGGGAGTTCGGGGAGTCTGTCAGATTCTGAGTTAAATAGTAGAGGGATGAAGAGAAGAAGTTAGAATGATAGGTACTGAGGTTTGGGTGAACTTTACAAAGGTAGAAATAGTGTAACATAGCAGTTAAACAGGTAACTCCTGTAACTGCAAGTGTTGGGTAACTATAGCATGTTATATAAAACTAGGTTAGCTGTGTGTGGAACATAGAAGGCTCTAGTAATGATGCTTCTGAGGATACACTGCATGAAATAAAGTATGGGGTCCTAAGGAAAATGGGTAAAAGTATCTAGACCTTCTTGACTGACAGCTGTATCGGAGATGATCTAGTGACACAGTAAAGATTGCAGCACAGAGAGTTTAAATAGGCAATGCCCCTAGTTGGGTTGCAGGTATGGCAGCTAGTGTAGAACCATTGGCAGACTACTTAAATTAGACACCAAAAGTGTATGTGTGGCTAGTTGTACTTTCTAATATAAGGTGACTTCTTTGAGGCTTCAGCCACAAGTCCCTATGTTCAATTTACTGAATAAAACTCTAGGCCCAAAAGAGGCTAGTTGAATATCAAAAAAAAAATAAAAAATAAAAATTTTTTTTAACTAATTACTGTATATATAAAAATGATCTACATTGTATTCTACTCTTAAAAGTTCAGGTTATCTCTCTACTCAGGTCTTTTAAGTAGGCTTCTATTTTTCTGCCTAGTTTTTATGATTTATGTAGCCTAAAAACTTATCTTGAGTTTACACTATTTGGTACCAGTTTGTATTTCTTTATACAATGTTATATGAGTGCCTAGACCTTTCAGTTATGCTAGTATAGCATAGTTTACAAATATCTAATCTCAATATCACAGAAGACAGTTAATCATAATATAGAAAGAATTACAAATTTTTATTATTATTGGGATTTAAACTCTAGACCTGCCACTTGAAAGTTAACAACTTATTTACTTTACTAGATCATCATACTTTATAAGATTATATTTGATTTATTTAAATAATAATTATTAATAAAGTTTTTATAAATTTAGTTAAATTCTTTAAATTTGTTTATTTTAACTAAACTTAAAATAAACAAATTTAAAGAGTTCAATCAAATTTATAGTTCAAAAATTTTATTAATAATTATTGTTTAAATAAATTAAGTATAATTTTATAATTATAGATAATATATTTATAAAATTTTAGAATTATTTGTTTTTTTTTTTTTGGTGTTAAGGTAAGGCCTTGCTCATATCTTTATTAGTAATTTTAGTTTTTAGAATTATTTGTTTAACTTAATTTTTTTAAATAATAATTATTTTTTAAAAATTTAAAATTTGTTTGTGTTTGGTCAATAAATATAAGCATATCATCTAACTATAAGGTTTTAGATAACTTTCTGTTAACTAATTTATCTATTTTATAAACTATGTATTAATAAAATTATATTTTTGCAGAGTTTATTTAGACTTAGTATTAATTTTATAACATATTCTAATATTTTAGTATACTTCTGTTTTGTCTTTAGACTTCTAATTTAGATAATTTAATAGAATTGTAATCTTTTTTAATATATTAAATTCAGTCAAATATCTTTTTTCTTTAATTGAATTTTGATAATCTAATTGGTAGTACTTCTTATTTTAAAGGTCTTGTCTGATTAATTTTTTTATATTGGTATCTGTTTTTTAAATTTAGTTTTTATAATAATATTGTTAAAAATTTGTATTATTTTTTTATTTAGATCTTTTTAAATAGATTTTTTTTTTTAGTTTTACAAATTTATATGATTAAAAGAACTTATTTTAAATTTGTATTATTTAGTACTAATTTGTATTTCTTTATATAATTAAAGTTATACAAATGTAGGATGTATTAATTTAATAAAGTGGTTAGATTGTTAACCCCCAAGTGGCAGATCTAGAGTTCAAATTCTATGGATGATAAATTTTAAAAAATAGGTCTGTATTATAATAACTGTCTCTGCTGATTAGTTGAATTAGTGTATCTATAACTTTCAGTTGTATTATTTTGAATAGGATCTTAGAGCATCTATGCTAAGTATAACATTATACTTATATAGAGAAATATTAATAACCAGTATTGTATAAGACTTTAGTGTAAACCTATAATAAGACCACCAGGCATAAAAAGCAAAAGAACTAAAGAGTTAGAAACCTACTTGGAAATCCTAAGTAAGAAGATAGTACAAAACTTTTAATAGTGTTGTTAGACTGATAAAAGCTTATGAAACACTTTTAAAGAGATAGATAGATAAACCAAATAGCAAGTTTATAATTTTTTCTGTTAATTAGAGAATCTTGGTCTTCTTTATTTATTTCTTCTTAGCTGTTGTTTTTATTTCTTGCTATGCTTTGCAGTTTTTTTTTACTTATATTTTAAGAACTTTTATAGCTTAGTTGTTATATGATTGAAATGCTTAGTTCTTTCATTTGTCTTATAACTTCTTATAAGTTTTGGTTTATTTATTTCTTTTTATTATTATCTTCTTGATTTTTTTTCTCTATAGACAATATTATTTTTGTTTCTTTGATTTTTTTGTCTTTCAGTTCTTTCTAATTTGGTTTTTTTTTAGGTATTTCTCTTTCACTTGTATTTCTTTAATAATTGAATAATCCTAAATTTATGTCTATTGCTGCTAATTTTATTGCCTATTCTTCTATAATACTATGTGACACTATGCATATTGCTATTATTTTAAGTACTTCTAAAATTTGATCATATCAAAGTAGATCATTTGGTATAATATTTTTTGAGTCATAGATTGCTAGATCTCTTGCTATATATTTTAAGTTGTTTGAATCATTTATTGATTTTGATAAAATTGAATCTAGTATTCTGGTATCTATATATCTCCTATTTCTAGTACTAATGTTTCTGATATGTTGTATCAGGCTTGTGTTATATAATAGTTACAATTTTGTTTGTATTTTTATTTTTAGACTTTTTTGATATTCATTCATTTACTTGTTATACATGTTGTACTTACTTATTATTTTCTAATTGGATTGATTGTTGTTAATTCTTGTTGATTGGTAAAATATAATATATTGCTTTGGCTTTGTTTATCTTGTATACTGATTACATATTCTGATTTGTTTTTCTGAATCTAATACTGTTTTCTAATTTCTCTGAAAATTTTCAACAAAAAACTTTAAAAACCAACTACAGTTTTATTTAACAAGACTTTGCTTATATTATTGTTAAGACAAAGTAATTATATTTTGTCTGCTAAGTCTTTTTTCTTAAAAGTCGGAATGAAGTTTGTCAGATTGTTTTTATGTTTTTTTATGTATTTGCTTTTAGTCTTGTTTGGAAATTTAAAATTAGTAGAAAGAGTTTTTTGAAAAGTTTGTTTTTTAGTAATTTTGAATAAATGCAAAAGCATTTATATATTAACAAATAATAAGAATAATGACATAATTATGTTAAAAAAGATTTTAAGTGTAATTAATAAAGATTTAAACTTTGTGTTTGCCAATAAAATAGGTTTTTTTATAATAAATGTTTGGTTTTGTTTATTAGTTGTCAATGAGATTTAATAGCAAAAAGTTGTTATATATTTAATAAAGCTTGGATTTGCATTCAAATTTTTTCTTAGTGTACAATTTGACCATGGTCGAATTGCTCAACTTGGTATGATTGGCCCGTGTAACCATGTTATTCGACCAATTTGACCGATTGGTCTGTGTAACCATGTCTTTCGACCAATAACCAATTGACCAATGACCACCGGATTTAACAACACTGATGAAACTATTTGCATTATTTACAAAAATGTTAATTTTTTCTATATCTAATCAAAATAAAATGTGCACAAAATTTTGTTTCTGTGTGCTGCGCACAGTCCGCACAGCGAAAAATAATTACTGATCTAAATATAATGACCTTTTTAATAATTATAAAAGTCTGATATGATTTAGTTTATAACGGAATGCCAGCCTAGATTTCTGTTATATTGATAGTTGATAGTACTTTTAAAGTGTATAAAAAAGTTACCCGGGCAATTGATTTACATCAGCAATCAGACAAAGTCTGTTTATGATTAAGTGTTAGAGTAGAGAAAGGCTTATAGATAAAATTATCTTTCAAACTATCTTTTTGGTGTTTAGTGTTTTTGGCATAACTGGACCTCTTTATTTGGACGGTTTCATGTTACACGAACGCGTAAGTATGCATGTTTGTTACACACAAGTGTAAACATAAATTAAGAGCCCATCGCTACGTACGCTCAGGACAATTATATTTATGAATAATTTATGAAAAACGTGATATCGATTAAATCTTTATTATATGATTATAATATAATTAAATATAAGTCTTATGAACTTTAGAAATTTAATACTTTATATCTAATTACTATAATTTTAATTCATAGACGGAGATAACGTTTAAATTAATGAAATAACATAAGCAGTTAAAATGCTAAATGAAGCCACGATGATAGTGTCAGCCAACATAAAAGGTGGACTGTGCATGGTGACACCACCAGATTTTGCAGTAGGAGAAGGGGATGGTGTTGAAGAACTAGGAATTACACCAGTAGGAATAGTTCCATCTATACAATAAAAACATAGTCATTAAAAATAATCTTATAATAAATTTAAGATAAATCAATAAAAATATATACTTAAGAAAGAAGGACCACATTTTGTTGTAACACTAGTTAGAAAAAGTGTCAAATTGACCGTTGGTGGTAACTCAGTAGCGGATTCATTATGAGCATTAAAGAAATTCCAAAAAGTATTTAAAATAGCTTTGTTACAATCGGTACAACTAATATCAGTGGGAATAGTATTACCCAACCCACTAATGAAACTGAATATCGATTTACTATTTGGGTCCAAATAACAATATTGACTGGTAGTAGCGTTCTTGAAACAGAAACTATCCTTCACCGGAGAATTGAAAGCAAGAATTTCCTTTATAGCAAATACTTCAGGATTCATAAGATCAGCAGCACATTGAGACTTAAGTTCAGCAACATCAGCAGAAGTGGTGCTATCACTGCATTTAGGCGCGGGACAATAGGCATCCAAGATTGGTCCTGGGTCAGCTGTTGCATTTTGCAATGCTGATAACTTGATAAATGAAGCACAACTGTTAAGTTCTGGACTTGAAGAAAGCTTGGCAAGTTCGTTGGAACATGCAGCAGAGATATTTGCTGGTAGTTGTTGTGCGGAAACAAATTTGAATGCTGCAAATACGAAAACGAAAAGTGAGCTTAATTGTAAAATTTTCATGATTGGGATTAATTGAAATATTTGCAAAAGGAATAAGTTTACAAAGGAAATAAAACAGTGTTCATTTATATAGAATATTTAAATGCTTAAATATTTGAGCATGTGTTCGACTTAACTATAGAGAGCAATTTAAAATTTAAATTTGATATACAAAATCAGACTAGAGTACAGTGTACACATCCACTCGAACCAGCCAAATTATTTGACAAACAAATATGTTATCATTGATCTATAGCCCGAAAATAGTATTAATTTAATGAAATGACAATATTAGAAAACAATGAGGTTATACTGTTTAAATGTACTACACGACTTTCTTAAGATTTTGAGCGACACGAGTGGAAAAAGGTTACATCCGAAATGATCATGCAACATTTTAAAATTTAGGATTAACTAAAGTGGGGTAATTAAAGTTATATATCCTTGATAGATATGACGTATAAAAAATGTGTACACACCTATAACCTAGAATTTAGGTTTTAGTTAGTCAGGTTCTGATAAATTGGTATTATATATACTTTCAAATAACCTATAATGATAGAAAAATATTGAAACAGATAGGATAGGAACCTAGCACGGTAGTCATCATATGCGTGCCATTGTGGCAGCATCCCGGCATGCCAAGCTCCTCAGCCTAAGATGATATAATGACAGAATCAGAGAACGGACTGAGACAGTTTTACATTATCATTTTATATTATCGTTATCTTTATTGTTAAAAGCTATCTATATAGTATTGAATTTTGCATAATTTTTTGATTCTCTCGATTTTTAATATTGATAAATTTTTATTATATTTGAAATCTAAATGGAATTTCTATATTTAGTAATATTATATTATAAAATAAATTTTAGAAAGTTTCATGTTGATCACACTAACGTTAGGAAACCTTTTATTAGAATATATAGTCATTAATGCTAATAATTGTTATTAAATTGTTTTGAACTTTTGAACAGTAACATGACACAGATGACATTAGGTGGACGAACAATAACTTTCTAATAAAAAGTTTTCCCGTAAAATTTTAATTAACCTTGCAATATCATTTACGTAGTGTAACCGATTTTGACCCACTTTAAGCTATTGTTATTTAATTAAAGTTGCAGTATTTTCAGATTTACATAATTGTGAATTGTACGCCCAAATTAGTGGAAATTATCTTTTTTACTATAAAAATTATAAATTGTTATTATTAAATGAACCAATCATACCTTTTTTTTCCTCTATTCAACTAAACGATATTTGTGCTATGTCATCGTCTTATGATCCAAGAAAGCTTACTTGGAATGACACGCATACTGTAAATAAAGAACATCAATACTGCTACTGTGGTGGTGATAGGAACTTAACTGAGGTGTCTCTTCAGTGCTCTGGTATGCTACTTTATTTTTACTTACTACTATTACTTTTTAAACAGGTCGTTTAAACTTATTCCTATTTTTGACTTACAGATTGTTTAAACTGGTTTCATGCAAAATGCATTCAAATTTCGGTTGATAATACTATTCCAATTTTTACCAATTACATATTTCATTGTAAACTATGTAATCCTTCAGGTGTTGAAAACTTTAGAGTAGGTCTACTGTTATTTATCTCATTTAGCCGTAAAAGTTTATTGATTAACTTAAAATTACTATTAATATTAGCGATGTCAAGCTGGTTGGAAGGAAATCGGCGGATGCGCGATTGCAAATCTTATGCTTCAGCAACATATGACTGATCATAACGCCTCGAAAGGGGATAGTCGATATCTATCTGCAAACTCGGTGAATTTGCCTCCATTTCGCTATTATTTTAATAAAAATGAACATTTACGCCCGTTTGTAGACAAGAATTGGTCTTCATTATGTACTGAACGGTCCAGAACAGCAACTTGGTATGTATATAAGTGTTATTAAATCTTTTTTATCATTATTAATTTGATTAAATTTTTTATTTTAATATTATATTAAAATTTTTAAAATTTATTAATCTTATTAAAATTTTATTAATTAATTTATTTTTTTTGTCATCATCTTATTCATACATAGGTGGGCTACTCTTGGTTCATGTTTATACTCAACCAAAGATCTTTTTGTCGCAAAAGATGAAAATAATCGTTCAGCAAGCTCTAATTTTTGTCTAGTGGATCCAAGCCTATGGAACATTAGGCCGGGCCATTTTGGGGTTTCTATCATTCTTTATCCTCTTATTCCGTTCAAGTTTTTTTTTTTCTTTTTCTTCAAAACTTTTTATAATTATATCTTTTCAATAGACTTCTCACTCTCGAACTATTTCTAAAATGACTAAAGACTTTAATAATAATAGTCGTGTATCTTATCATGATAATTCTTCTCATGCTTCATCTTCAAAACTTCCAACAACACCTCTTAATACTACCGAGCAAAGTATGACTCCTCCTGCAATGCAATCAAATTCTTCAAACGTCGTAATTGCTCTCATTCAAGCAAGCTCTTCTAATACTGAATTTGGTCAATCCGGTGAACAGAATAATTTACGTCATGGTTTCAAATATTTACCTTGTGAACTTGATCATTTGTTTCCATATATACAATATCGTAATTCTGAAATATCTCCTTATGGTGTACGTCTTTCTAAAGAAGATGCAAGCTTATCTGTATGGATTAGTGGAGACCAGTTAACTACTACTACTGATTTTGGTTTCTCAATGGCTAGAGCTAATTGCTCTGTAAAGGAAGGTCAATGGTATTATGAAGTTTTCATTGATCGAGGTGGTGAAGGAAAAATTGATGGAAAAGACGGTGCTCACGTCAGAGTCGGCTGGGCTCGTCGTGAAGGTATCATTTTTGTAATTATAATATCTCTGGTGATTATTTATTTATTTATTTATTTATTTATTTATTTATTTATTTATTATTAATTTCTTACTTTACAGGAAATCGTAACTCCCCTATTGGTTCTGATGCTTATAGTTATGGTTTTAGAGACCTTACTGGTCATAAAATACATCAGTCAAGATTGTATCCCTACGGTGAACCTTTCAAAACTGGTGATGTCATTGGTCTTTATATAAGTTTACCTCCATTAAAAAAAGTTATTCCTGGCTATCAACCAATTAGTCCAAAAAGGCATAGAATTCCTATATTATTTAAAGGTGACACTATGTTTGAATATAAAGATTTTAAGCCTACTCATAAAATGAACCAACTATTGGAGTTACCTGAAAAGAAAAAAGAAAAAAAATATTGGTGGCAACAAAAGCAAGATGATGCAAAACCTTCTTCAACTTCTCAACCTCCTTTAATTTCAACCTTATCTGGGTCAAAAATCATAGTTTATAAAAACGGTGTATGTCAAGGTGTTGCTTTTGAAAATTTATTTTCGTTTTTCCCTACCGTTGATGAATACACTAATGATGACGATTTGACTGAAGACGATGGTTCCCTTGGTTATTATCCTGCTGTATCAATGTTCCGTGGTGGTACTTGTACTTTAAATTTTGGCCCTCATTTTCGATATCCACCACCACCTGATCCTGAACTTGAAATTTCTTCAACTTCAAAGAAAGCTTCGAATGCTAGTGATAGTGTACGTAAATGGCGTCCAATATCTGAACGATACATGGAATATGTAGCGGAGGATATATTAAATGATATTGTTGATGAAATTGAAATTTGGGATTGGATGGTATCGCAAAAAAAGTCTCCTATAAAACGACCGGCTGTTGTGGATTTATCTGATGGTGGTATTATGAAAAAAAGGAAATTAGATGAATCAAATGGTGAAACTTCTGGTGATGTCCCGACATCTTATCATATATAGGTGTTCATGAAATTTTTAATGATTCTAAATTATATATATTACACTAAGCCTCTTATTTACTAATTTTTGTTCATGTATCATCTCGCGATTAGATGATATCACTGTTTTATACTTTACGATATTTTGTCATTTTATCACGAACGTTTACAATAAATTGTATCCATTACTTTCAAATATTTACTCGTGTTGATATTACTAATCCGGAGATTTTGATGGAAGTTTATATATAAGGACTTGAAAAAATAATTACAAATAAGGGTAAAGTGAAAATAATAGGACTGGTTGAGACCCGCGTTGTAAATTAATAAAAGTCGCTACGTAGATCATGTTAGGTGAAATCCGCGTTTAGCTAGGTTTTGATTATGCAAAAGCCGATTTCACCTTCATGTGATATACGTAGCAGATTTTACTAATTTACAGCGCGGGTTTCACCTTGTCGTATTATAATAATAGCAATAGTAATAGTGGTAAGGATAATAATAATAATGTAGATTAAGACTTCAAGAAGCAATAGAATTTATTGATCAGTTATTTTTTAAAATATATTATTTTAAAAATATATTTATCTGATAACATTTGAAAATAAGAATTATAATATAATAATATTTAAGAGGTAAATTGCGAAATAATAGTAAAAATTGCTAGAAGTTGATATGGTTTTCTATAGGGTTGAATTGTAGTTAGCTTATAATGAAAGGTTTTTTATATTAAGTAAACCTTTCTTGAGTTTCTAACAAACAAGTTATTTTGGTTCTAATAGTAATAGAATTATTTAAATTGGTTTGATAGATTGTGAGCTATTGGCATTTTCTTTTTTATAATTATATGATTTTTATAATATTAGAAAATGCATTTCACTTGTTATGATATAGAATATCGTGTGTAGTATGGTTATTTTATTATTGGCTAGCTTCAATTTTAAAGTACATTATGTGGTATTACAGCATGTTTTTTTTTTTAATATATATATGTGTTGTATTTATTTTATCTACTCTAGGTTGTTTTATTTTGGCAAGCAGTTTATATTAAAATAACTTTGTTATTATAACAGAGATAGTTTACCTATTATAAGCACAAAATAACTTATCTTAATGTTTGATAGTGGGTATAACAATGACAACAATAACAATAAACCTGATAATAAAATTTTACATGAATTACAAAGTCTTTTAGAAGATGATAAAGAATTCAAAACAGTTTTAATACTTAGAGTTTT